TAAATGGTCCCTTGCGAGAAGTGGTGGAAGCAGCGGATTTCATTTCCCACCTTATTCAAAATATAGGAATACACAAGAATATTTGGTACAACACGAAAAAATTCCTTACTTCCTTGTTCTAAAACCCATAGTTTTTAATTTAAAAAAGTGTTAGATAAGTTGAGAAGATGGTCACTGATGAGGCCAGATTAGAGGCTTGGAAGACAAAATTAGAGAGATTTGGAAAGCATGGAGGAAATACAAGGGCCTTGAAAGACTCATCTCGGAGAGCTAATACATGAAGAGTGGGCACTCCTGAAAGAACAAGAAGAGCCACAAATAACACACGTAAAGAAAAAACAAACATCCCTGAATTTAATACACCAACTATTTTGCATATTGAAGGCTCTTTATGTTAGGTAATCCTGATATCATTCCTGAACTCCAAGGGTAAAAAAATAATCTTACAACCTTCCAGACAGAGAGTACAAGATATTTTCACAGGAAAAAGTATTGGATTTCTGATGTGCAGCTCTAGAAAGGAAAGGATTGTAGAATAACAATACAGAACATCTGGCAAGAAGGCAAAAGGACAGCAACTCAGAAACTCAAGAGCCCCATTCCCTGCCCAGATACTGCCTCTTTCCAGAGAAGATACATAAAGATCAGAGAACATATCACCCAGGGACCTGTTTGAGGAAACTCTTCTACAGAAGACACCGATCAAACCAGTGAATCAGGATGGATAACTAAGACATCATAGGAGAAGGCACTGTGGAAACAGGGGAGCTGTGAAGAATTATACGACTGCTTTGCTCAAGTCTATGCAACAAATTTGAAAATCTGAATGAAATGGGTAATTTCCAAGCATTTACGAAACCCCAAATCAGGAGAGATGGAAGATCAAAATAGCTTGATGTTACTCCCTACAGACAAACACTAGACTCAAACATTTAAAAACTGATAATGCTATTTCTGCTTAAACAGTTCCAAAGTATAGCCTAAGAATGAAAACTTTCAAATTATGTTCACAAAGTAAGCAGAGTGTATTAGGCAAACAAAACCCAGCAGTACATTAAACAGCAAAGCATAATGAGTGGGGTTTATTCTAAGAGTACGCATGGCTCAACATTAGAAAATCTGCTAAGATACTTCATTATATTAACAGATCTAAGGAGGAAAAAAATACAATTATTTACACAGCTGCTAAAAGGTATTTGACAAAATTTAATAGCCATTCTGTTTTTTTTAACAAAACGAATAATGTTACTCAAGAAATATGAATAGATGAATAGCTCCTTAACATGATAAGATACTTCTATCTCAGCCTCAAAGCCAGCATCATGCCTATTGTAGAAACAGTAGAACA